GGGGGGGTGGGGCGACCCCTCCCCCACCACTCAATCAATCAATCAATCAATCAATCATGGAAATATACAATACTTCGTGTGTGTGTGTGTGTGTGGGCCCGTTGGGGTTGAGGGGGCGACCCCACCCCCACCAATCAATTAATCAAGCAAGCAAGCAAGCAACGGAAAAAAAAAAAAAGCAAAATCGAATGAATCTTCCACTAGAACATGGAAATATGCAATCCTACCTATGTGTGTGTGCGCCTGTGGGGCCAATCAATCAACCAATCAATCAACGAAAAAAGAAAAAAAAAAACAATGCTGTTTTTTTTTTTTTTTTTTTTTTTTTTTTGAAATACCCTCAAACACCCAAACCCCCTACCCAAAAATTGTTTTTTCTTCGATTTTTTTCTGCTTGATGGAGTGGGGCGCCGCCCCATGGCGCTTCCCGAATCCCCAACCACCCTCCCCACCGGCCGCCACGCGTTCGCGAAGTCGCATGGCAGCGCGGACGCGTCCGCGGATTCGGCCGCGCTTGGCCGCCACTGAGGGGGATTCGTAGATACTCGGTGCGCTCTACTGCTCCTCCGAGTCCTCCCTCAATCATGCATGTTGGGCCGTGAAATCAATCCTCACACCATCATCAACTCGTCGCATTGTCATCCGACTGCTGTGTGTCGAGGCGAGGTGACGAGGACGACGACATGTGGCCTCTACCGGCAATACTACCCCTGACAGGTGGCGGAGTACCGTGGAGCGCAGTCGGTGGAGGAGGTCTAATTGGGGGGATGGGAGTCGTGCGTGCACCCGAAGCCGCTGCTCTGATAGACTCTGAACGCTGCTGCTCGCGCTCCAAGCTCGCAGGAGAGCCAGAATACAGAGGGCTCAAAGGCGTGTAAAGCGGAGGCGAGCGAACTCCGACCCCATGAGATCCTGAAGGTCCCTTGCTAAACGGATCCTCCACTAGCGCACTGTGCAACGCGTCAGGGTCGAGTAGGACCGGTGTAATCTGCCCCTCCTCCATATCTGCTCTCACGGGGTCATGATGGTCATGTGTTGTACCACCCTCCCCCTCCTCATCCACCCCACCTCCTCCCTCCACAGGTTGTGACGCAACCTCGTGCGCCACCGGTGAAGGATCACGCAACACCAACACCAACGACATACTGCCTCCGACCTCCGCCGGATCATCACCCGCCTCATCATCACCTAAACCGGCACAGTGCGCAGGTGCAAGACGCCCCGCATCACCCACCCCATCATCCCCTTCTGCGTTGGGTCTTCGGCCTCCGTTCAACTCGCCTAAATCGCCCTCCATAGGAACAGCCTCCTGAGTGACTGGAGGATCAGGCTGCAACGTGCCCGCCGCACACAGTCCAAGTATGACGTTGGACACGGCCGGATCTCCATACTCAGATGCATCGTCGTCTCCTCCCATCGTGGACACTGAGTGGACATCTCCCTCGGGCGACGAACGGCCCGCGTGTGTCAGGTGTCGCTGCGTCGGCTGCAAATGGGTGCGGGACTGTACGAACGTTATGCTCGACCCCGCCCGCATGAGGGACTGCAGAACCGGTCTCCAAGTCCCGAAGACGCTGCGGCTCCGCCAGGTACGCAACTCTACCTGCCCACTCTCTCTGCAACTGCTCCAGCCGCTGCTCTTCCTCTCGATCCATCCGGGCATGGAGCTCCTCCGTGGACTCCGCTCCACCACCCTCCATAGGATGATACTGTCTGTCATCCCCTACTCTCTCTCGCCCGTCAGTTCGTCCTCGAACACCGCTGCTCGAAAATCCGAGTCCAAGGCCCTGAAAGTCACTCGTGCGCAGCTCCATCTGCTCCCTGTAGCCTCGAGGTGCTGAGGTGGGTGTATGCTGGCTCGGCTTTTGCGCCTCAGCTCTGATATTGTGTAGATGGTCCGACACCTCGTGTCTACCACCTGAAGTCGATCTGGCCAGCGTCTGCAGCCGAACTGATCTCCTAAGACCCTCGGCGGCAGGGCCGGCTCCCTGGCGCGCCAAGTGTGCTCTGCGAGTCACCAACGGCGCATCGTCGTCGCCGTCTTCCACGCTGGCCACCCCGATCACCTCCCTCTCTCTCTCTCCACTAGGGAGTACACCACTCGCCCCGCCTAAAGCATCTCCACTCGTGCCACCTGTAGCAACTCCACTCGCGCCGCCTGAAGCGTCTCGCTGTCCACGATCCAACCCTATATTGGTAGTAGGGATGGAATCGTCGTCGTTGTCCCGAATGGCAGTGCAGCGTGGTTGAAATCCATCTGCTCCTCCTCCATACGTGTAGTAGAGTCTCTTGGCACTCTTATCTACACCTGCTGGCAAATCCTCACCTCCCTCCGTGTCCGTCTGGTCCTCCAACGCCTGCACCGGCTCTGCTGGCGGTGGAGGCACGTAGTCGTAAGGAAGTAGTATCTCGGCTCTCGCACTGAAAACCTCAGTAACTCCCGCTGGGCGATGAGCACCCTGCTGCTGGAAGCGACGAACCTATGCATTGATCTCATGTGCCGACACTGCTGACTAAGGTCTAGCTCCCCACTCCTCTGGCTCAGGCTCCTCCTCATCCTCGTCGTCCACCAGCGGGTGTGTGTACTCCTCTGGCTGCGCCTCATCCAGGGTCGCCATGTGACCCCACGGAAGAACGTACCCCCCACTCCTCTCGCTGCATCCAAGTAGTTTGAGATTTGTAGCAATCTCAACTAACTGCGCGACCTTCCTGAACTCGAGCTTGTTGCGCTTGGCCGTGTGGATGCGCTCATGCTCTGCCCAATTCCTTGCAGCAGGAGAGGCGAACGTCCACATATGCATCACACGGCCAGCGATCTCCTGCAAGTCCGGGAAGCATGCGTCGTGCTCCACCAACCAGGACGCGCACCTGCTCATCTCGTCATCCCCGATATAGGCCTCTGCCTCGGCGTCCCTCGTCACCCTGTCTGTTGTGTGCCCGATCCGAGTGTGAAAGGACCGCATCTGCTCCCGCACCTGCAAGTATGTATCCCCGTCGGATCACCGTCTGTCTGCGCTAATCGAAACGAGTCGCACTCGGTGACCACCTCGAGGTTCGCAGCTGTCCTGTGAACGAACTTGTAGTAACGGAGAGAACGTATGTGGGGGTTGAGCAGGTGCGCCGCAGTGTGCGCAGGCTCAAGCATATGCATGGTGTGGATCCGCACCGCCTCCACGCACGGCCACCGCATGTCATCAAGGATGTCAGCAGCAGCCACCTGCCGCACCAACTCCTGCGACCATGAGTACATCATGGACATGATCATACCGCCCCTGTCCAATCTCCTTAACAGCTGGTGGTCAGGGATCATGATAGCGACAGCGTGCTAAACGTTGCGCCAGAAATCGGTGCACCGGACGACCTGTCGAACCCACAGAGCCTGTCTACGTTTGGATGGCTCCCATGGGATCTTGTCCCACTCGTCGTCATGAAGCATGCTCTCCAAGGTATTACGCCTAACGAGCAAAAACACAAACATTAAAAAAACGGACGTGAATCGCGTCTCCACGGGGTGCACAAGTGCACGGCGACGACTCTTCACCTTGAAAAGATGATAAACCGCACCTTGCAATTTAGTGAATCGCACCAACGCCCGAGCTCTAAATATGGTGTCTGTAACCCAAGGAACCCGTGTTTCAATGTCAGACAACATCAAGTTGCAAACGTGGGTGGAACACGGGAGCCAAGTGATACGGCGGATCTGGGGATCGGAGTCCTTTGCAATGAGCTTTGTGGCCGACGTATAGTTCGACGCAGAGTCCGTGCAAATGGCCAACACGTCCTTCGGAGGAAAAGACCGGAAAATGGCCTTCCACCTCCTCAGGACGATCTGTGTAGTCTCGGGCACTGAACCGTCTCGTTGGACGGTGGCGTACATAAGGGCACTGCGCTTGGCGGTTGCGAGGAAGTTAATTATAGGCCTAGCGTCTCGCGATTGTCTACCGTCCGACAAAATGGTGGCCTCTACTGACTCAAACGAACCACGGACTTCCCTCAACATCGCGGCAACCTTCCCTCGCTAATCAACAATACCGTCGCCCCCAATGTCCTTGAACGATGGATAGATTGGCCGCACTCCGCGAGGCATGGCGGCCAACTGCTTCTTGTGCCGAATCCATAACTGCCTCCTGAATGCAGCAAACGGGATACCGGAATCGTACACCCACTGCAAAAAGGATTCCATGAATGCGGCCTGCCCATTTGGATCGTACACCTCGTCCTGTCTGGACTACCGTTGTCTCTTGCGCGCCTGCGGCATGCCCTCAACTCCACTCTCAACCAGCCTCTTTCCCACTCGCCCCGTTGCGCCCCCCTCGTGATGGTCAGCGCCACTACTCCCTCACATAGTCATAATCACCTCCTCTCCCGACAAATTTGGTGTTATCCATGTCCCTCCACCCTCCTCAACGCCCCCGGCCTCTGCTCGCGAGGCCTCCTCATCAAGAAAGTCCTACAACTCTTCCACAGGATCACGCTCCTGTGGTCGTGACTGCCTCCCACCCGTTCTGCCACTGCCACTGCCTCGAGGGACGTCGACGGCTCATTTATCCGCGATATCGTGCTCCCTCATGTATGCCAAGATACCGCGGTGATGACGCTCATCGAACTCGTAGTCTGTGTGGTTTCAAATATTCACAAACACGTCCATCGATGTTGCCACGCACCTCTTCAACTGCGTGAAGTGGCGCTGCGCCTTAAACAAATTGCCCTGCCACACATGCTTGCAGTAATTGCAGCGCAGCTTGTAGTTCGCAATGCCTCTTCTCCCACGTCCCCATCCTCTAACCCTGCGTCACATGACGCCACACTCTCGACTTCCTGCGCAGTTCATCCATTTGCACATTGGTCGCTGGAATGAAATCGCCGCCCCCTGAACCGCCTGCACCACCCGTCATTTCATATGAAAGCGGTCCTCCCCTCCTCCCCCCCCTCCCCCCCACTGTTGAAGATGAGACCCCGCATGAAGACCCAACCTGTCCCACCTTCGCAGTAGGTCCGAGAAGGCACTCCCGGAGACGCGGCTAAGTTCAACGTCGCGCGGCCATCATCGAGTCCACGGACAAGGCCGCGCGGCCATGTCCGTGGCCGTATCTGCGGTGGAAAAGTCTTGGTGATCCTCTGTCGCTGTCTTCGCCCGTGCACCGCCAGCAACCGTCGGAAGACGCGGCCGAGTTCAACGTCGCGCGGCCATCATCGAGTCTATGGACAAGGCCGCGCAGCGATGTCCGTGGCCGTGTCCGCGGTGGAGAAGCCTTGGTGATCCTCTGTCGCTATCTTCGCCCGCGCACCGCCAGCAACCGTCGAAACCTATATACAAAAAAAAAA